CCATTCTGGCAGAAAACCACACTGTGCTCTGGTAGGTTCCTTTCCAAGACAGTGATACTGTAACTCTGTTCAGGAGAATATGGGCAAAGATCTTGTCTACAATGGACAGCAGTGAGATACCCCTGGAGTTTCTGCAGTCTGATTTGCTTCCCTTATTTTTGTAGGGAGCCAATGAGGGCATCACAGAAGTCGTCAGGTATCTCCTCTATGAACAAAATGTCTTCCAAGATGTCTTGGAACACCTGTAAGGCGTTTGGGTATAGTGCTTTGTAGATCTCAGCAGGAATGCCATCCTGTCCTGTTGCTTTATTTGAGTCCATCTGCGAGATCACTTTCTTGATCTCATCAGTAGAGGGAGGCAGGTCTAGAGCATCCAAGACTGGCAGCTGAGGAATCTGCTGTAAGACACCATGATCAACTGTAGACAGTCTATTGAGTGGATTGGAAAAGTGTTTAGCCCAGATAAAAGCCCTTCATGGTCTTTGATTAGGCTCGACCCATCAGATGACAGAAGGGGGCAACATCCTGATTTAGAAGGGCCATAAACTGACTTTATGGCTCTGGTGGCATGCATCTGTATGTGTTTTTAATTATTGAATCATCCAAAGTCTTTCATTCCCCTGAGAACTATTCTTAGTACAACATGTTACAGGTTTATTATCCAAGGATTGGATCCCTCCTATGACAACATCTACATCATCCTGAAAATGAGGTTCTCCTTCCTCAAGATCTTCATTCTCCATTACAGCAAAGAAGTTACCATCCTGAGAATTGGGCAAAGCTATTACATTTCATTTCCATGCTCTCTATCATCTTTAGTGAAGCCGATCTTGGTTTAAAGGGAACAGATTTGCTTCCTGAGAGCCAGAAGCTCATTGCACTGAGTACAAACTCATGAACTATGCCAAACAGGCAGACAGTTGTACATTTGGCACTTTATGCAATGAACAGGAAATCACCTCCTCCCATGCTCACTTTCTGCCTTCAGATTATTTATTGTTAATACAGTGATACCTCGGGATACGAACTTAATCCGTTCCGTGACTCTGGGCGTATCC